ATACCTATGGCGACAAAAAATATCGTTGTAGCGATTAGGAAGCAGTGATTCTTCCATACCGAAGTTCATACCATTCAGGTGAATCAGACTGGCTTTGGGTACTTTTTTCTGCTTCTTTGCAAGCACTATCAGTTATCCTGCATTTTGCAAATGACATAAATGCTTCAGCATCCTTTTGAATAGTATCCGAGGCCAAAAAAGTTTGCATTATCTGATGCAGTGAGGTTACTTCAAATTTTCTACGTTTAAACAACGAAAATAGAGTACCTTCTGACTTACCGCAAGTATCTAACACAGCTTGAAGGAAACTTGCATTTTTTTCAGCAAGTACTGGTGGTTTTCTGTCACACAGCTCAATCATCCCTTTATTCATTTGTACTGCTTTGGCAAGGTTGGACTTTTTCCAATAACACTGTGTTGAAGTGACTGAAGGTTCTTCACTTCGTCTATGCAGCCACAATAAAAATACTACTCCATGTTTACAGCCACCTGAAACCAAAAACAAAACAGTTAATGAAATAGTAGGTAAACAGAATCCATAAAAAAAGATATCTAAAGATAGAACTTGAAGAATGAAAATTTAGACAATGCATTTTTTTTCATTTTTTTTTAGTTCTTAATGACAGGTAATTAAAAAAGTTAGAGGCCCGTCTATAATCTAGATATTTGAGACACAAAAAAGTTTATTAGGTTTTAAATAGGTACTTTTTACCTTCTGATGCTGGGCAGTCTAGGCATTCACAAATCTGGACTTATCCAGTAGTTTCGTCTATTATTGCTTGAACTCTGTAAGCAGTATTGCGTATTTCGTATTTTATGCTCTCGAGTTATTCTTCCCTTCACAGTGCATACACCGTCATCCCGTTTGAGCTGTACAAAGGCTATAGCATTGTCCCCATATGTGTCGGCGGCAGACCTTATGTAAAAAAAGGGATAATATAGTTCTGGCTTGAAATTGTTATGTATGAACTGCGTTACTAAAGTCTATTTTTTTTTTAAACTGGTATAATCAAACTGCTGTGATCAAACTGTCACCTTATAGTTTATTGCAAGTGGTTCATGGGTATCCAAACAAAATATTTCTTAGCTACCTAAATTAGTTTCTGTCTTGAACATAGCATTATGAAGTAATTAATGTATTAGAAGAATTATCAAATACAAAGATTTTCTTAATTATTAATTCTTGGTATCTTCTACATTCATTCTAAGTTAAATTTAATTGATAAAATTCCTAGTATTGTCAAATATTGTCAGTCTCCTAGTTTCTTTTGGATTTTGCTACCTGCAAGCCCCAATATCTATTGTTTTGAAGCGGTCAAAAAGTGTTACTCTAGGCTACATCAGTGGACTTTATTTATTTAAAAGAATAAATATGGCGGAACAAATCGACATGCAGGTAGAAATATCTGTTTACTGCATAAAAGATTAAAATTGGTCCAGTATGATGGATTATACCAGCTTAAAATATAAGTATGTATATTGAATACGGGATTCAAAGAAAATAAAGTGTAAAAGATGAGAGGGCATAGCAACAATAAAATCAAGCACATTTATTACCTATTTATCCTTATGATGTTCTATACTTACAGGAAATTTGTTGCCAAACAAAACATGAAAATTATTAAAAATGTAGTTGATAAATAGATTCTTAATAAAATCCTCTTTTTATAATAATAACAGGATATTTGGTCAAAAATTATATTAGTAAAACTCTTATATGATGTCAATCCTTAAAAACTGATTTGTTTCTATTCTCCAGGACTAAAAAAATATAAGTACCAGTTGTACCTAACTGATAAGTAATAAAAGAGTAACGGTATTATTGAAATAACTTAATCAAATTTTAACTAAATTGGTATTTTTTATATGATTAAAAGCTAGTTAGTAAATAAGAATAAATAATGCTCAAGTCCTTAATATTTGTTTTGATGCTAATTGTATTTTCATGCTTCTGAATTTATACGATTTCTACAAATAATCTTTTGATTACATTATTTATAAAGAGAGAATTTCTACAGTCAACTACTTAAATAAAGTTTTATATTGTTTATACATACCTCTTTGTTTTTACGTTGCGAACTGCCGCACTTAAGAACTGAAGATTGTGTTGAAAAAACGTTCCTACCATTTCACTATCAACTTTGGGCAAGTTATCCGATGCCGCTTTCACAAAACCACTCTCTCACAAAGCCATAATGTTAATTTTTTCGCAAAAAAAAAAAACGAAAATAAAATAAAAACAAAAATAAACAACTGCTAAAATCAACAATGAAAATATGTGGTTATGTTGTTAGACAGCGTGTTAAACGAACAAGGTGCGAATAACGAATGAGGTGTTTCATCATTGTCACTCTAGAGAGCTCGAACAAGGAAAGCAATTAAGATGCGCGTCAGAGCCATTGTGAACGATTCTTATTCGTCGCCTGTGGACGCCTACGTCATACAATGGCGCCATTCCAGTCCGTTTGAATATGTGTTCTGAAAACAGCATTTTCAAAAATTATTTATGAAAAAAATAGGACATTTTAAAGCCAACTGGAAGCAAGGGTATTTTCATTTTGGTCCATACAACTGATTATTTCATTCATTATAAAATAGACCTATTAGACAACGTCATTTTTTGAATGAATTTTGTTTAAATAAGTGATTATTTCACAAGACCTTGTTTATCAGCGATTAAATTTTTGTTTACCTTTTTTGACAGAATTTTGATAGAAATATTCTGACATTTTATAATAAATAGAACTCTTTGGATAGGATTGACGCCAATAATTAAGTCCTAATTATTCAGGAAATAATCTAGCCGTATACCACTCGACCTATAAATTTAAATGGATTAAACTATCCAAATATTTTTTGCATAATTTTCCTTTTTGGCAAATAGTTTCATGCACAATAACTTTTAAATAAAAGCCCTCGACCGCTTCGCGGTCTCGGGCTTTTATTAAGTTATTGTGCATTCAACTATTTTCCAAGCAAAATCATGCTCAAAATATGTTGGATAGTTTAATCGATTAAATTTAAAGGTCTTGTGATATAATATATGATAAAAAATAATAGAGCATTGAAATTCAATTATGGTGGAACTACCCATTTCTCACCAGCTTTATCATATGACATGGATCAAGATAAATGAAAACTGGATCCTTTGTTATGGGATGATCAATCAAATTTTGTTATTAAATTCAGGTGATCTGAGAAATTCGCTCCTGGCTTCTCACACATAGAAATATCAGCAGCGGCCCCGTCAAGGGTAAGTGATGTAACAATACGCCACTTTTGTGATCACAAGTTCTGCTTTGCCCTTTGCTGACAATCCGTCAATTGGAAAATATCCTATGGGTATTTTCCATGACGAGTTGATACTAACAAACATAAAAACTAATACCTCTCTGGCTTCACGTAATGTGTCACTCTCAATATTTGTTCCCAGATCCAAATACCCTGTGAATTTAGATTCAGTCCACTCGACTTGTTTCCTTATAGACATCCCGTCCATCACCAGGTTACAAAAAAGTGGACGAGATGAACTTTTTTGTTTTAATGTTAACGCAGTGAGTGATTCTTTGGTGAAACCTGGGCTACTATCTACAGATTCATACCACCTAGAAATGGTCCCCAAATGGCGAACTTCGGTTGAATGAGTGTCTCACAAAGGTATATGCCTTTGGAGAATAAAACGATAGCGTCAAAGCAAATGCCCTTAATGACGGATTATCTGATTTGGTCCTTTTAGCACCTTTTCAAAAATGTTTTTAGCTGGTCCAGGACAACAAATTTAAAGCATATAAAGTATATAATAAATATGAGTCGATGTAGTTGGACAGTTCACCATCCTCCGACGCCTCCGTGACGTCTGCGCATGCGCCAAACAGGGCGTCGCGACGCCGTTCATCAGTCAGCTGTCAATATCAGTCAGCTGTCAATGTCAATGTCATTCAGCCGTCAATGCCACCTGTCAATGTCAGTCACCTGTCAATGTCAGTCACCTGTCAATGTCATCTAACCCAATCTACCTGAACTACTCCAACTTACCCGCTCTCTGATGCGCCATCTATAAACCCCGTATAACATTACACCTGTGTGTATTTTTTATATTTCTACATGTATTTATACAGATGAAAAAATACGTGAACATGCATAAATACATGAAGAAATATAAAGAAAATAGACAGATGGGCTTAAGAAAAAAAAATACTAACCTCAAAGAATTTTTTTATTTAAAAACATACATTTTTTAAGACTCAACTATTTCAAAAAGCGATATTTGGTTTGGTCGTCCTACATCCTTCTGGCTTCTGTATATTATTGAATATTTTTCATCCATAAACTGCTCAATATGATCTTCCAATGATTTGGTGGTACGTTTTGGAAGAAACACTGCCTTATCGTCAAGTTCAATGAGGATACTCGGTCCGAATTTACTTTGGGTTTTTTTAGCAGAAAATATTGGGTATTTTCTGCCGGGCTCCATGTCTTGTAATTTCACAAATGTTTTTTGATCCTTGAAGAGGCAGGTCTCGTTGATTGATTTCAAATCCATATCTAAAAAATATTCTGTAGGTATTGATATTAGTATATGAAAGATTTACTTACTTGTTAAAAAAAAATGTTGTGCAATAATTTTATAATAATTATAATGTCCACTGTTCGAGAGATTGAGAAAGACTGAATAGATTTGTGTAGACTTATACAATAATAATTATTTCAGCAGTGTTTGTTTTACAATGACCTCCAAACGCGTCTCGAGTACCACATTTAACTATAGTCCGACACGAGATCCGTTCTAGAACGGTAATTTCCAGTCAATCAATTAATTTGGTCGTTAAAGATAAAACGTTCAACTTATGAAAAAATAGGAGAACATCTGGAAATTTTTGGCTCTGGACCGGATCTTGTGTCGGATGGAACAGAGCCAATGACTAGATGAAATAATACACATTTATAAAAATCGGGTTTTTCTATTTATTTAATTTTTTTTTTAATCATTTAATCATTTTTTAATTGGAGTCTGGAGGCGGAGCATTCAGGATGGTCTGAAAATAATAAACATATTAGTATAGGTATCTGCTTCAAACATTTCATGCTTACAATTTGTAGAGTTCCTCCAACTACTGCCGCCTCAAACTCTACACCCCACACCGCCATCAAAAAGGGTGTGGGAAGGGCCTCTCCCACCATCCCTCTCCTTATTAAAACCGTGTGAATCTGAAAAAAAATATGTGAAAATTGAAAACTTAAATGAAAAATACTATTTTGCAATTACTTACGGGGATGGCGGATTGGGCCTCCCAAATTTGCTTGCAGTTACCCGCTATGTTGTGAGACATTTCTAGCTGTAAGATTATATTATCAAATTTAATATTTTATGGATATAAGATATGAAAAAATTGTAAAACTGATGTTTAAAATATCCCACAATGAGAACCTAATACAAAAACTTTCCGGAAATCTAGTCACCGATAAAAATGTCTGGAGGGAGGAATCGACGCATACTATAAAAATATATATATATATATATATATACATCCACCTATCAATTCTGCTTCCATACAAAAAGGTGTAATTCCGCATCATGTGGAAGGAGGCGTTATTTTCTAATTATAGGTGGTGTATATGAAACATCATATAATTCTAAATATAGCGCGCGTAATGGGATCTCCTTAAAACCCATTTAACCCTGAATTAGTTTTTTCTCAAATTCCAAATATTTTTCTCATGATTATTTATAAGTTGACTAATTAAAGTTGTGGAAAAATGTTTAAAAAAATATTGATCTCTTCCTATTGGTGGAAAATGGTGTCCTTTTAAAAGGACGGTAGGGCTATATGCTACTGTAGATAAATAAAAAAATCCAATATTACCAATACTTAATTTATTCAAGAAACATTATGCTTTATGACGTATCATATTATACTGTATGATATTCCATAAAGCAGTCTTTGGGATGTAAACCAACATCACATTTGGAGCACATAAAGTTTACTTTCTTGTGGCATATTGCACATCGTCTCTGATTTTGGTTGTATTGAACTAAATGATCCAACCTGTCAAAACGAGAAAACTCATTGAGGTTTTTCGGAGGTTTAGAGCGCCCTCTTTTTGTAGTTTTTCTGTATGTTTGCAATAGCTCAGTCGCCATTGACCTACGAAACTCAAGCTGGTCAAGTTTGCCGCTGACGTTTTTATGCAATCGCCAAGCGTTTTGGGCAGCCATATCCACGCAGTGAGCAAATTGCGGAAAGTACCACTTTTTTCCCCTGATAGATACTCTTGTGTCACTTATATTTTGATCTCCGCGATCAACACCTCCCATATTTTCATTGTACGATTTTAAAAGTCGCGGTTGATCTACATAAATGTGTTTCTTTTCTGATTGTGAAAATCTCTTCACTTTATTCACTGGAAAAACTGGCAAAGCATTTGATGCTACACTTACTACATTGTTGTCATGCCATTTAGCGATAACAATCTCATTGTCAGCTAGAACATACTCAAAATAACCTCGGTTCTTTTTCTTCATTACAGCGGCATTGGATAAAGGCGACTGTGGAAGGCGATTTTCTCTCAGGGTACCAGTAGCTTTCATTTTTCTCAATTTCAATTCTTTGAGGAGTGATAGTGATGTGAAATAATTATCGAAATATAAATGGAATGATTTGTAGGGCATTCTCTTCAGAACGTCCGCATATTGAAGTACTACACTTGCCCCAAGTCCCATATGTTTGTATTTCTCTGGAAGTGTTGTTGAGGAACCTTGGTAGGGATCAAAATACACGATATATCCTAGACGCAAGGCACCGATCCAAAATTTATATCCCCATCTTATGGGCTTTCCTCTTATAAATTGTTTTCCGCCATGACGGCCAAAGTATGGAACCATGGATTCATCTATACAATGGTTTTCCTCAACTGGGGCGTGCTCAAAAAACTTTCTGTTTAGTATATCAAACAAAGGTCTCATTTTAGAATATCTGTCGGTGTTGTCCAGCTGAGTATTATCATTGAAATGTATGTTGCTCATGATATATTGAAACCTATCACGTGATATGGCCTGGCAAATCATTTCATTATTTGTATCAGGCCTATTTTGCCAAAACATCTTTTTTCGGGGTAAAGGGACATAGCCACTTAGGAGCAGAACGCCTATAAAGCAAAGTAGCTCATCCGATGCTAAATCTCCTACACGATTTTTTTGTTGAGCATATGTGTTTGAATACTGAAGGATTTGATTTATTACTTCTTCATCGAAAAACAACCGAAACAGGGCGGCAGGTGAAAGATTGTTTGGTACGGACGCTGTGTCTTCCCAGTCAGAAAAACCTACTGCCTCCAAATCCCTATTCCTCTGGTAGTCAAATAATTTTATTTGTTTTGGTATTCGTTCTACGAAGTCTGCTAAAGGTCTCTCATCATCGCTGTCCCAGTCTTCAGCTTGTTCAACTTCTACGTCAGCTCTAAGCTGAGCACCGGGCAAATTATCCAACTCCACTAAATTTTCATCACCTGAATCTTCAACGGTATCATTTTCATTGATTCCTTCTGGTGGAAAAATTGTTATGTGATCAGGAACCTGAGCCGAATCATCCTCTTCTAACTCATGTAAGAGCTCTGCTAAAGTTAAAGGCTTTTTCCAAAAACTGAAACAAAAACATTCTATTTTCATCAATAGTAGTATATAGACTTACCGTCCTTTTAAAAGGACGCCTAAATCTATGATACTATATCTTGTAAAATTTTGAATCAAATTTCGAGCAATAGCCTTTTAGGCATCTATTAGCATATATTCTACTGAAATATAATCGAAATACCAAGAAAAATACCAAAAATAAAAAAATAACTTACTATTTGTCACTCATTGTAAATAACGTGTGTCAACCACTATCAAAACACTTTTTTCACACCCGAATATCAAAAGAGTAATGACGTACACATGGTGTGATTTGCTATACGATGCCTGACAGTATGCAAATAAAGTGGCGGCACCTATACGTCAGCAGCTCAACTAAGGTAAAAATGTAATCTTTGCTACAGTCCTTTTAAAAGGACGGTAGGTTTATATGGGTTAACTTTGATTTTCGGATATACGTTTCCTGATATATTTGCTATCAATTCTACATCTGTATACTTCGCATGCAATTTTGCCTCCTGCGTATATATTTTCACATAGCTCTATCAATTGTGCATCCAGCGATGTTGCCAGATTTATAATATTCTGAATAGTGAAATTTTGCAACTCTTGTTTGGATTTTGTATTCCAGCCCATATTCTAGTCGAGACGGTAGTGTCTTGGGAAGGTAGATGAACATGAAGAGCTTAAGAATAATATATCACGGCAATTTAAAAACTATTTTAAACTATGTCTTTTGGGTAGTGAAAGTAATACACAAAGAGTTTTTGTAATAGTTATAGGAAAAGTCTTGAGATTTATTGAAAGCTGCAGGGGTGAATTTAAATCATCTTTTTAAATGTCATGTTTTTCTTCAAAAATAAGATTTCCTTTGAACAGGAAATTGGATCAACAATACAATACTAGAACACAAATTGTCCTCTTGACAGACTTTTGCCTATAGAAAAAATCCAAGTTATATAAGTAGAAGATTTTTTTTTTTTTTTTTAATGATATTTAATGTGTAGGTAAATGTCCTTAGATTATTCAAGAATAAAAAAAGATCACATTTTTTATTTTGTAATTCTTTAGTTTGGAGCCATTTCATTTTATATTATGTACTAGCTTTCACCCGCGGCTTCGCATTGCTGTCCTTAAACCGATAAAAAAATTATATATTTGAAAACCGAAAAAATCGTAGATAACATTTTCGACTATATTCCACTTTTTCTATCAAACATCGGACTCACAGTCTCAGAATAAACAAATAAATGTTTAAAAGTCGTAGATAGCATTTTGACTATATTCTGCTTTTTCCATCGAACATTGGATTCACAGTTCGAGAAAAAACCATTAAAACCAAAAAACTCGTAGATAACATTTTCGACTATACCTATTCCACCTTTTCTGTCGAACGGTCACTGTTTGAAAAAAAAGAACTCATAAAAACCGGAAAAGTCTTACATAACAAAAGTTAAAAAATAAGATATTTGAAACAAATTTAATGGCGTCGAATTTTATTCAACTTGCTCAAACTCTTTGTTGGCAACACCAATTTTTTTACCATTCATAAACAATAATTTTTTTATAAAAAATGTCCTATGTTCTTTACTATATTCTTGAATATATGTGTACAAAATTTCATGATGATCGTTTGAGTACATCGAGGTTGAGTAGTTTACGTAACAAACAAACTCACATTCGCATTTATAATATTAGTTGGGATCTGTTTCATTTCTACCTTGTCGGTCAAGTATTTCGTCAATTTTAAGTGTTAGTGGTGAAGACCAACGGCATCTTTACTATACTCTTGAATATATGTGTACAAAATTTCATGATGATCGTTTGAGTATATCGAGGCTGAGTAGTTTACGCAACAAACAAACAAACTCACATTCGCATTTTTAATATTAGTTGGGATCCGTTTCATTTCTACCGTGTCGGTCAAGTATTTCATCAATTTTAAGTTGTTAGGGGTGAAGACCAACGGCATCCTTCGGTGGTTACTCTAGATATGGGACAGGATTAAGGTAACACATTCACTATTAATCGCTGTTGGAATCCGTTTATTCCATCAACCACAGATGCATCTTCGACATATAGCGACATTAGTAGGGTATCGGGATGAGACCCCAACCAAGAATATCAAGCCAAAACAATTTTACAATTTTTCTAGTTTTATCGTCTGTTAGTTAATTTAACAGTAACCGCCGAAGGTTGCCTTTGGTCTTCACCACTAAAATCTTAAAATTGAATAAAGACTTGACCGACAAGGTAGAAATGAAACAGGCCTCGGTAGCTCAGTTGGTAGAGCATTGCACTGGATATGCCAGGGTCCTGGGTTCAAATTTAATGCACGGAAGGCGAAACCATTTTCGCCTGATGGGCATTATAATCGGAAAATGCCCGTGGTGCATACAATGCTTTATTTTCTACTGAATATAATGTTTTTTCATAAATTTTGTATCAATTACCTTCTACACTTTTTTCGAACATCCCTCATTTAATAATTGTATTGATATAGGTACCCATAACAACGGCAGGGAATTATGAGCGTTCACACTGAAAGAAAATTTTACTAAAACCGAATCAAATTTTCATTCTGAAAAATAAAAAGGTGACAACTATGTGACAGGATCACTTTTTGATTGCACCATTCAAACTAACATTTCTGGAATTGTTTTCTAGCTATAAGTAAATAAGTTTAATTGAATATAATTCATTTTTTTTAGAAAAAAAATTTGGTTCGTGATACACCAGTTCAATTGTCCGTTTTTTTTTCAGTGTAGAAGGGCGTTATAGATCATAACGCCCACGGGAATTATGAGCGGGTGTTACAGGTAGATTAACGTATTTTGTTTCCAAGGTATTATGGATCAATAATAGTCGAGTAGAAAATAAATGTATTTATTATGATTTAAAATAAAAAAATAAATATTTTGATTCATTTATTGATTAGGAAAACTACAAGCATAGACCTAATAGGTGAAAAAAATAGCACGTGGAAATAATATAACTACTAATATAAGAACAAAAAATAATAAAATTTTTCCACAAAGAAAATTTCATAAAACAAAAACAATTCTTTTCTGAAGCATAAGGTTTTAAATTTTTTTTATTTATTCTTTTTTTATTTCTTTTTTTCAAAAATGTATAAATCTGTATAAATACCTTATTTTTCCACAAATAAAACTTCATAAAACAAAAACATCATTCTTTTCTAAAGCATAAGATTTAAAAAAAAAAATTATTTATTCTTTTTGTATTTTTTTTCATAAATGTTTTGTATAAATACCTTAATTTTCAACCAATTTTTATTTTTTAGAAGATCATGATTCATTGAAATTAGTGTTTCACATTCAGCTTGTTTTGGGGCTTTTTTTTCTTTAATATGTAATTCGAAATAATTTGTCACAACTTTTTTTTGCTCATCTGTCCATGGAGTCCTTGCAATTTTTATTTTCTGTTTTTTGTTAGCTGTTGCTTTTTTCTTATATTTCTGATCCAGTAATGATAATTCATTTTCGCTCTTATCTTCTTTATCTCCTGTATGTGTGATGGAGCTTGTAGAAGGCATTATTTCCTGCTGTGAACGAAAGAGGTCGTCTTCTTCAGGGTCAACATCTGGTATTTCCTGCTCCAAACCTGCTTCCAAATCAACTTCTATTTCATCAAGTGATTTTCCTTTGTAATCGACAGATGATCCATTTTCCATTAAAAGCAAAAGTTTCGAAATTTTGGCGGTCTGATAAACATCATCAGGAAGCCGATAAGATTTTCGGTGTATGCCAGTTGTGTGTCCCATAAATGTGGCTAGTTGCTCTAGATCATTATCAGTCATATTAAATATTTGTGATAAAAGTAGCTTAATGTTTTCTGAGGCGTGTTGATGTAAGTGCATCAGGATTTTTGCATCCGCTGAGATTGGCGTACTTTTGAAGCACTTTGTAACCGTATATATGCCCCTCATTTTTAATTTGACAAAACAAATATTTATTAGTAGCTGATACAAAATAATGTCTGTATTTAAAAAGCATTTCAATATCTGCCTGTACATCGAGACTGAATAGCACTGGAACACCCCTGTCTCTTTTACCTTGGATAACAACTCGCTTGAAGCTTTTCAGTAGAATTTTTTCTGTAGGTGATATTGCATGATCAAACTCTTCATAATTCTGCGAGTTACCCGATTCCGTATAAGTAGAAATGTTTAATCTCTGAAGTTCACCAGGTCTCTTTTACGATTTAACAAAATAACTCTGCAGTAAACCGTCTCTAATAGATCTTTGTAAGCCTTCTCATCGTTATTATTTTTTTCCAAATCCAATTTTGATTTTTCTGCTACGTTAGTAAGATATAATTTTAATATCTTCAAGTCACTGGCTAAAGGAACTATTGTAATCTTATTCCATTTTTTTACGTTTAAAGTTTTTGAGGCTTCTGAGGCTATGTCATATTTCCAATTGGATGAAATCAATTGCTGTAAAATCTGCAAATTACTTCTAGCCACTTCTGCCGGGATTGTTGAGTAAATTTCTTTTTTTTTAAAGCAAAGTCAAGTGCAACATCGCAACATTGCTTCAGAGTAGTACCCATATTTAAAGCATATGTTGGACTAGCATAAGATTCATTTTGATTATCATATTTAGCTACATTTTTTGTAGCTTCTACTATGGTATCATAATGTAGGGGATCTAGCATGTCGAAAAAATTGGATATAGTGCTGTCCATTCGTTTTACTTCTTGAATCAATCTAGCTAACTCACGCATTTTTCTTGAAATTACGTTTGTGAAACGTTCATCTCTGTGAGATTTAAGATAGCGCGCCGCATATGCACAAATCAAAACGTCTTTTTGTGCTGCCATTGTTATCTTATCATTTCGCATTTTTGGAAACACCTTATCCCTCAATTCTGGGAATGTCTTTAAATGTCTGAACAACAACAGTTTGCTTCTATTCACAGTATCGGATGTGCTTGGACGTTCAATGCACTTTCTTTTATGTCGCCATAACTGTTTTGGAACATAATATCCCAAGCAATATGGGCAAGGTACATAGTTGTCATTTTGAAATCGGGTTTTTTTCATTGGCTTGAAACATGTTTGTCCGCTTTTTAAAAAAATTCCTTTTTTTCGAAGACTTGCAATTAAAGCTCGTCTTTCGATAGATTTCGCTTGTTTCGAAAAAATTTTCTGTACTTCTATTTCTGACATGTGGTTTCTTTCAATATGCCTTGCAAAATTAGTTACAACATTTCGCAAAAAAAAACAAAAGTCTGATGATTTAGATTCTGTACCACCTCGATTTTTATTACCTCCTGAAGTTGCAGATTTTTTAACGGCACCTTTTTCCGAGGCTGGAAGTTTTTGAATGGCTGAATTTTTATGACAATTATCCAAGGCTGAGTTTTCATCCAAACAGCTTTCTGTTAGATTTTCTGGTCCTACTTCATCATTAAGCAAGTCGGCTGAATTTTCATCCAAACAGTTTTCTCTCAGATTTTCTGGTCCTAGTTCATCATTAAATAAGTCGTCTTCAATATTTTGTATGAACTTGTCAGTCTCATTCCCAATTTCGAAACTTAGTTCCATTAATGATGGAATTTCCTAGATAGCAGAAAAATTGTCTGTCATTTCTCAAATACATTTTTAACGGGCGTTAATGACAGAACTGATATCAAATGTGTCAGTTCGGTCCTCTGATTGGTTGATTCTTTCAAATTCGTCTGCAAAGAGAAAAAAATCACATCAGAATTGGCTAAAATTTGAACATAATTGATGGATTATTTACAATACCAATATTTTGGTTTTTCCAAATTTTTTTTTTTGCGTAACGCCCTAATTCTTGGAAAAAAAGCAACCAGATTACACATATTATATTATTTTTTATTTTGAGAAAAACTGAAATATTGGTATTGTAGGTAATCGATCAAAGAATGTTTATGCCAAATTTAAGCCAATTCTGATGTAAGGTATTTTTTCTCTTTACAGACGAATTTTTAAAAATCAACCAATCAGAGCACATAACTGACAGATTTCAAGGTCTTTAACGCCTCCTTAATCTGATTATTCTTACCTCACAAGACTGACCACTACTTTCTGGTTCAAAATTGGGATCCTTGACTGAATCATCATTATCAACAGAAATTGAACATAGGGAATCTGAGGTATTAGAACCATTAATATTGTGCGTGCTAAGACCCGGGGATGTGGTATTTATTGTCGTTGAATCTTGTGTATTCTAAAAATAATTGATAATATAAAACATTCAAGCATTTCAATTCATGATTACTATATTTAAAAGTTTCTTCCGTCATTCCCAAATCAGAAAATATGTGGGACTTCGTTGAAGGCTAAAACCAACTTAACCATCAAACCCTGCAGTTCTCCTATTGAACAAAATTTGGAATGAGATTTAGTGCTATATGCTGCCCAAATATTCTCTGATTCTGGGATGATAGGATTTACAAACTTGTGCAGCCTATATAGGGTTTGAAAAACAAATCGTGAAGTGATTCTTTGAATGACGTTTAGAAAATTTGAAATGTGTGAGTATAATAATTTGGTGAATTTTTTTGTTAAAAATTCTTGATGGTAACATGTAAATAAATGTTTGACCCTGTATTTTGGATACGAAGCATATGTATGGTAATTGGGAAGTCCTATCTTAAAATTGACACCTGACAAAGTTTGTTACACTGTTTTTGACACCCTGTGGAAAGACACTAAACATACAGTGAAATTTCGCTAACTCGAAACTCCAAGGGCCAGGAAGTTCTATTGGGGAAGAATCGGAAAAGAAACAAACAAGTGTCTGTTTTCTAAAAATGTCAAGGTCCCGCTAAATTTATTTGCATCCTCAGGACACTACAAATAAAGAACGAAACCTTGTATAAAAAAAATCCGCACTATTAAAATTATGACAAGGTATGTCAACATTTAAGTGAGAATAATTTCATTATTTGTTATGTTGGCAGTAGTAAATTTCATCATAATCGTAGGAACCTGTATTTATGTCAGTTTTTACTATATTTTCTAGTGTCTTGACGATGAAAATAAATTTCGGGAAACGTCTATAATTTAAAAAAGCAGCCATGTGTTATTTCGATCCTACCCCAGTAAAAAGAAAATATTGGAAAGTATTATTTTGATCAAAAACGCTTTGTATTAGATTTCTAAGTCTGCCCGCATTTTTTTCTAAATTCCGATAGTTTGTGTGAGTACCAAATAATTGTGCCTTAAAGTCTTCTTTTTTCTGCCACATGTTCTTATAAGATAAATTTTATTTCAGTATTATGTGGGAGTCACTATAAATTACGCTTGAACTTTTTTAATATACTACTGACAAGTTTCGTATAGACAGATTTTAAAAAAAAATTGCAAAATATCACTTTTTGCATTGTTGTGGTTATTATCGGAGACTCTATCGCACACCTTACAGCATAGCATAGGTTAGAGTCATCAAAAAGCAATGTGATAACGTATTTTTCCAAGGATATACATGATACGAAAAAAATATATTTTTTCTACTACCGTGCGTAAAGTTCTACTTTTTCACACTAGTGCGTGAAATAAATATCTTCATGCACTAGTGCGTAAAGTAATGTCATTGACAGATGCCGACACTGTCAATGTAGTATTTTTCTGATTAATTACTTTACGCACTAGTACGTAAAGTGAAAATACTTTACGCACTAGTAAAAGATTTATCTAAATTTATATTTTTACACATATTTTATTGGTAGTAGTTCACTTTGCACACTTGTTGCATAAATAGCTATTTACTTACGCTCCTGCTATAACAAATTTGTTCTGGAACGGGTGATAGAAATGAGTTACAAATTCTTGTACTTCTTCTTCTAGACTTTTCTCTCTGAATGTTTTCTGTATCCTGCAGCTCCGTACCTTTAAAACAAATGTTAAGCTCATGTTTGAAGAGTTTTCTTGTAAGGATGAAACATGCAAAGGTGAACCCAGCAAACCCCACGTCATTAAAATAAATAGAATCAAGATGGCTATGCATATCCTGATCCTAACTAATATTATAAATGCGAATATGAGTTTGTATGTTCCATATGCACATTGGAGTCACAGTTTCAGAATAAACAGATTTTTTTTTAAAAGTCGTAGTTAACATTTTTGACTAAATTTCATTTTTTTTCGTCGAACCTTGGCGTCGCAGGTTTAGAAAAAAAATATTAAAACCTCAAAGTTCGTAGAAAAAATTCTCGGCTATACCTATTTCACCTCTTCTGTCGAACGGTAGAGTCACTGTTTGATACAAAAAAAAAAATCAAAAAAGTCGTAGATATGACTATATTTCACTTTTTGTAACAAACATTGGACTAACAGTTAAAAAAAAAACACATAAAAACCGAATAAGTCCTAGAAAACATTTTCGACTATGGGTTTGAACAAAAAAACAATCATCCGCTCAAAAAACTGACCACATTCAATCCTTATTTTCGACTATATTTCACTTGTTCTATCAAACCTTGGAGTGAAAGTTTAATAAAAAAAACACAAAAAAAGAGAAAATTGTAGATAACATTTTCGATTATACAGGATGATTCACGTTGCCCGTGTATTAGAAGTTATCCAGTTTGCAGGTGGATTAGTAGAAATAATAGCATCTTATCGAGCTGCAAACTAACGCCCGGGCAACCCTGTATTTCACTTTCTTCTATCAAAAATTGGAAACAAAGTTTAAAATAAACCTAAAAAAAAAACGAAAAAGTCGTAGATAACATTTTCGACTATGACTATACTGCCCTGCTAAGCAAGAAGGGCGTATCTGCAGATTTTGTTTATGTGAGAAAAATGTGTTTTTACGAAAAATAGAGTTTTTTCTTTTAAACTACAGTGAGCACTATGTGTGTATAACATGACAAAAATAATTTCGCGTTCTATTTTTTCTATAAGTTTCAGAGTATTTCAAGGTCACAGAGCGAGCAAAATGCAGTTACGACATTTCGCTTTAGTTTTATGTATTATTATGCTAATAAAAATCGTCATATCTGTCAAAGTTATGTATTATATTTTTAATATATAATGTAAATTGAACATAATTAGTGAGGTAATAATAAACCTAACATTAAATTGGTTAATCGCCTAATCGTAAACTTTTTTCTTTTTTTTAAAGCCAATTCCACTTGGTGGTGGAAAGCGTCACTGGACATAAAAGTGTGCCCGGATTGAAAATATTTTAAATTCAATTCTTTTAAATTAATTTCGTTTGAATTAATTACGTAAGTTAGAAATGAAAAGAGGCCCCAGTTCTTATTTTGCGCAGCACAGTTATCCAACCATATTGTTACATTTTCTACATCCCTAATAGAAAGTAAGAAATTATAAAAGGTTGAAATAATATCGTCTTTGGATCTTCCTGAGATAGCTTCGTGCCAAATGACAGCGAATGGTTTTTTCTGCGATTTTCCAATAGGCACAAATGTTTCGTTGAATGCAATAACTCTAGGCATAAAGATTATTTCCTTAAACATCTCGCACCTGGGAAGCATAATCACCTGAAATAAGATATGACTATTTAGTAATAAAAGTGACAAATTAATATAATCAATTACCTTTTGGAGATCTGCTGAAACGTATAAACCATCCTTTTTGAAACTGTCTAGTTTATACTCTTTCCTTGCATTTCGATATCCATCTCGATGCTTTGGAAATGATGTGCACACATCACAGTCTTCGGTATTGTCGTTCTTTTGATGCCCTGTTGACATGCAGTGGATTCTAAATGATTCACAAACAAAACATTCTTCATGTCCCAAATTTGAGAATGAAATGTTCATACGTGCCACCACTTTTCTGTAGAGTTCATAAGAAATATTAACTTGATGCTGATGTAAAAAGTTTTTATGCATTGCCCTTATTGTGATATCACTTGGCAGGTATTTTCTCAACGGAGCATGTTCTCGTCTATAATGAGAAATTGTAGGTCCAAAACTTTCAACATGTTGTTCAATCAATGTTTCATCAAACTTATTTTGTTTTTGTTTTCTACCCCGATTATCCTGTTTTGGAACAATGGATGTCCTGTCATTTTGCAGGGTGATATTTCTAAGGACACGATCGTTTTTCAGTTCATATCCTTACGTTGCCAGAATAAACTTTTTACAAACCTGCTGATTATTTCCGGTCTCGTCGGGTAAATAATAGGAAACAGATTTATTTCTTCTAGATCCCTCGGCAGTCACTGGTTGTGATCTTCTTTTAACACCAGTGGTACTTGTTTTGTGTAATATAAAAGCACGCCTCTCTTTTTCAGTCATGTCCCAAAATTCTCTATTAATTACTTCCTGTCGTTGTGCACTGATTTTTTGAACACATTTCTTTTTACATTTTTCACCACAGTTTTCTTTAACAAAAGAATGTTTTTGTCTTTTGATGGATAGTCGCATCTTTGTTCTTGTTGCCGGAGAAGTCATACCTTTTTCTTTTTCTTAAAGTTCCTTTCTTCGTATACATGTCCCCATTCAATTTGGTAGAAACTTTCTCAACAATTTCTTCTAAGGTATGCTTTATTTCTTTTTGAAGAACCCTCTCTCTTATTATCGTCAAAGGTAGATTATCTTTTTCAGAAGATTCTTCGGAAGCTTCGTTTTCAGTTATTTCAATTTCAGAAATATCTGAATCAGAACCCTTGCCAGACTCCGATATAACGAAGTCTCGATCTTTAATGGAATCATCGCTATCTTCTGAAAAATTGTCAAAATTATTATTTTGTTCTTCCTCCATATCATCATCTGGAATATCTTTTTCATCCTCCATGTTAACATCCGAATTATTCTGTATTTCTTCTATGTTGTCCAAATTATATTGGTTTTCTTCCATGTTAGTTTCTGAAATAGTTTCTTCTTCTACTACGATAATATGCGAATTATTTTGAATTTCCTGTGTGTTAACGTCCAACTCATATTGTTTTTCTTCTATGTTACCATCCAAACTATTTGTTCTTTCCTGTGTGTTAACGTCCAACTCATATTGTTTTTCTCCCATGTTATTATCTGAAATAGTTTGTTCTTCTTCCATGTTAGCATTCAAATTATTTTGTCTTTCCTGTGGGTTAACGTCCAACTCATATTGCCTTTCTCCTATGTTATTACTTGCCGCTGAAGACTTTAGAGCAAGTTCCAAAATTTTTTTAGTCCTTTCTTTCATCCTGCAATAATTTAAATTTTGTTACGAAATAAGGGACTGAAGACATCATAAAACGTTAAAGACACCACGGGCAATATGAACTAAGTAATTATTGCCCTCGGTCGATGTCCCTAATACACCCATTGGGCCAGAGGCCCTAGGTTTGAACGCTATCGAACCTCGGGCAATTAATAATAGGTATTTGGTTCATATTGCCTTGAGTATCTAACTATAAGTCGGCATTGATTTGTCAGGTTAAAAAGCAAAACATAAACAAAGACTTTGTTACAAAAGCAAAACATAAACAAGCACTTTATTTCACGTGCATTGAATAAAGTGTCATAAAATATATGTTAAACTTACCTTTATTATTGTATTCAGGTACACATATCACAAAAACAGTTTATATTGTCTTAATATTTGAAATATATCAACGTTCCAACGGATCGATTTTCAACGTGTGTCAAAAAAGTTTTAGGTTATGTTGACTGACTGCTCGCGAGTTCTAAAAGGAACTGTCGTATCTGATACTGAAATTTGTAACATACGACAATTCTTTTTAGCACAAGTCAGATACGACAAATTGTATTGGAATCATTCACAACTTTTCCATTGATTTCACTAAAGGAATTGATCGTATCTGCCATATACGACAAAATTTCTTAGCATATGCTATATACGACATATTTCATTGGGATGAGTGGCAATTTTGCAGATATGACATATTTCATAAGCTCATTAAATACCTAGTTTTCATCATACGACATTTATTTCTAGTACGATAGGTGCAAAATGATGCAGAAATACTTAAACTGAAAAAACATTATTTTCGACAAAATTGTCAGATACGACCTTCTTGCTTAGCAGGGCAGTATAGTTCAATTTACTGTCGAACGCTGAAAACACTGTTTAAAAAAAAATACCAAAAAAGTCGTCGATAACATTTTCTACTATACCGGGTGATTCTCAGATGACGCTCGTCCCTGTAACTTTTTTATTTTTTAAGATTTTCATCTCATATTTTGGTAGAAGGTATAAGTCATTGGTGTGCATTGTTTCACATAATAAGTACCTTTCTGATACTTCCGGTTTCTCCGGAAACGACCCTAACTTTCAAATTTTAAATGGAACACCCAGTATATTTTTAGATATTTAAATTCTCCTCTTTATTCTAATTATGAAAATGTATATCAATTTAATTTTTTGACATTTCTGAAACCGAAATTACCAATTCGCACTTTTCATCTAGCGTGCCATGAGTGACATTAATTGGTAAGTTTTGTACCCAAATAAGTGTTAAAATTATTATTTATTTTTATTATTGCAAAATGCAACTTCTACAGCCATTTGAAATTTTCAAATGCGTAAAAGTTGATTTTTTCTTATGGAAAGGGTAGTGGCTCACGGAATCAACTAAATAACTTTTTTCCGACTAATAGATTGATACTATACAATAATGTCTCCTTGCATGTTAAACTTCTCCTAGATTCTTAACTTTAATTTTTTGGAATAAAATCTTTGAAATCACCCTCGTAATACAAGTTGATTACCTTAAATGACGTTAAGCACCTTCTTTTATTAGAAATTTGACACAAGTTGTCAGACTAATTTCGTATTCAAGCGTTTTTTTTTTTTTGTGTGAAAGAGAAATAATTATGAATTTCGAATTTCACACGCAGCGAAAAGATTGACATGATTTTAGTATTCGGTGGGTGCAGGCATATTGCGCCACACGCAGCTCGCGCATACGCTGCGAAATATCCAAATCGTCGCCACCCAAGTCGACATTATTTTCCTAGATTGATAGAAATCATGAGGACTGAATCAAATAACGTTAACGGACCATTCGTTTCAAATGAGGAAAAGGAAGTTGATGTGTTGGATATGGTGGCTGTAAATAGGGTAGCTTCAACGAGGGAAATCGCTGCAGAATGCGACATAAATCAGGTATGGAGAATTCTCAATAAACAAAAATTCAAGTTACTCAAATACCCGCTACATCAGCACTTGTATCCAACTGATTATTATCGACGCCTTGAATATTGCAACTGGTATTTACAAAAGTACAGAAAAAATAACAGATTTCCATCCCAAATATTGTACTCTGATGAGAGTCGTTTTACAAATTTAGTCGTTTTACAAATTTCAGTGTGTATTAAAGCCTGTTTATATTACATGCAATCTCGTGCAATGCAATATTTTCTTGCCTGAAGGCATGAGCACTTTGTTCTTTTTCGATAAGCTGATGCAATTTCATTGCATTGCATGGAATTAGAACTTGCGCTAATTTTATTGCACGTTGGGTGCCATTTTCGTCAAATTTGTGTTTACTTCCCCCACCTGCGGGTTGGTTTGGTTTGGTTTGTTGCAAAAATAGACCTATCTATTTTTACCTGGTATGCGCGCGCAACACGAGGCAATGCCTTTTCATTAGTTGACTATCACAGGTGTGAGGTGTTCGTTTTGCACGCTGGGCATCTCCTTGGCCTTGTTCATTGCCCGTGGTCTGACAAGGATAGAAGTACAGTTGATATTCAACTTTACATAGCTTGACAAGTGACATTCAAAAGTTGTTTGAAATTTTCATTGACAAATACGTTTCACTACACGCGGTCTTTCTCCTTCCCTTGTTACCTTGTGCAAATAAGAAGGACGGATTGCTTTACGTAAGTCTAACATAATTTGGTACGTTTTGCCTCGTCTTGCGAAACACAATGTAAAAATGTAAAGCAAATCAGCTGTTATATGTCATTTTCTTTAAGTTGGCACAACCCGCTATACAAATGACTGCATGCAATTTAATTGCATCCTATGTAAACGGTAAGGCCGTTTTACAGCTTGCAATTCTATCTGCAATATGCAAGAAACTTGAACGAGGGCATGCGCAGAAGTGAGTCAGCTGATTGGTTTCTGCAAGATTCTTGAAACTTGAATGGCATTGCATGCAATCGGTTTGGTGCCATTTTTCTTGAAGGTTTTCGTGCAAGCTGGGGAATTTTCAGTATTTATGATGCTTAAAGTTGCTGCTATTGCTCTCTTTCTTTTATATCGCCACCATTGCGCAAGAAGGTGACAAATGCCATTTACCTAATTTTGCAGGAGAGCTAAAAAACATAATTTTTAATTTTTGCCGTTTTTGTTTACTTTGTGAAAGTGATTGTTAAAGTTTAGTTTAGGTGATCAAATATGCATTGAATAAGAGCTATATGATGCAATAATAATTTTTTCTGAATACTCAATTTTTTTTGAAAAAAGTGGCATTTGGCTCCTTTTTGCTCTTTTAATTTTTCAGCAAAGTTTGAAAATGGTATTTTTTAAAAGGTTTTGAAGCAAAATAAAACTATTCCAAGGTTACAGGAAACAGATTTTATTGAAAATAAAACACAAAAAAATAATTCTGCGAAGGATTATACCCTCGATTATACCTCAGATCTCAGATTATACTTAATCAAGAAAACTAAAATAAGCTGAACTGAACTATACAACTATGATTAACCAACTGTTCAATTGTCAACTCGTTTAACTGACTTTGTAAATTCTAATTGATTATGAAAACACAAAAAAATAATTCTGCGAAGGATTATACCCTCGATTATACCTCAGATCTCAGATTATTCTTAATCAAGAAAACTAAAATGTAAATTCTAATTGATTATGAAAACACAAAAAAATAATTCTGCGAAGGATTATACCCTCAATTATACTTCAGATCTCAGATTATACTTAACCAAGAAAACTAAAATGTTAATTCTAATTGATTATGAAAAGAATTTTTAAAGAAAAGCAATAATGAATTTTATTCGTGGTCACTATCGGCAACGTCGCTAAGACAATCGGGTACCACTTTGGAATAGGGCATGTCGAGGTATTCTTGTCGAAATTCCTGAGGAATCACCTCATCCTTGCAAAGTTTGGCCAAGTCCTGGTATTTTTTTGCGCATATAGGAATCCTATTTTTGTATGCTTTTGTCACAGTTAGGGTATTAAGTTTTTTTCTTAGGTTTAATTTCATTTTATGTACTTTTGAGGCCTCCTGGAAGGAATACTTAAACTGAACTTCTGCAGAATCTTTTGTAAACTGCAGCATTTTCAATTCTTTCCATTTAATATTCTCAAAGTCTTCATCCTTGGTATTTGGAGGAATGAGACCTTGCAAGGCGTTCCAGTTGTCAAAATCTTTGTGTTTTAGTGTCTTAACCACGAAGGCTTCGGGATTTGTCCTGCTTAGCTGGATGATATAGGGCCATTGTGATGGCGCCATCACGGGTCTGTGTTTCACAAAGGTGGAAATGGTGCTGTGAATGGTATCGGCTCCCATATAAGTATGCCCTTTCAGTAAAAATTTTATCTGAATACATTCTATATGCTCCAGTTGGTGAGATTGATGCAGAAGCATAGAAAACATTGTCTTATTCTTATTCTGTCCTGGGCAATTGTCACAATATAAAATTATTTTTAGTTGTTTGCTCTCTTTTCTTTGTCTAAGTTCTTTCAACCAGATACTGATGCATGTACTTATTTCGAGTGCTCCCCTTTTTCCTTCACTCTGGCCCCATACAAAACAATCTCCTCTCTTTGTTGAATTTTCGTACACTGATAAATTATAAACGTGATATTTTCTACTATAGAAAAATAGTACACTCTCTGAGTAAGGAGTTGTAAGAACTTTTTGTAAGTCGAAACTTGCAACAACAACTGACTTATCTTCTTTTGAAAGGGCTATATCATTTTCATACTCTTTGTATGTGGCTTTTTTCTCTTTTTTATGTTTCCTGTATTCTTGCATTTCTTTGTCACTTATTTCTTTTTTGTCGTTTCGTCTAATTTTTATTCTTTCACAGTCTAGACACTTATCTTTTTTTGGTTTTTGAATCCCAATATTGTACTCTTTA